ATCCCTGAGGGCAACCTCGGGATGGAGAAAGGGTTGGGAGAGACCTTGCGGGGCTCAGAATGGGTGGCACAGCGCCCAATGGCCTCATGCCATGATGAGAGACCCCACTGCTGTCCCCTGTGCCAGGAGGGCAGTGTGGGCAAGCTGGCAGTGCCACTGGGGCAGGCTCATGGGCACACGGCCGGGAGCTGGAGCTGTGTCCCTCCCAATGCACTGAGCACCTCTTGGGATGGAGGGATTTGTGCTGCCAAAGCGCAGATTTAAGTCAAGGGGGAAAAACCCAGCCCAGCTGAATTTTGTGCCATTTAACACCAGGGTAATTACCACCAGTGGGAACCTACCGCCCACACAATTATGTGCTAGGATAAACTGGAAGAGCATAATTACCATTACAAATAACTCACTCCTCGCCTTTATTGCTTCCAGCCTGGAGAAACTCCCACCAGTGGCTCCCCATCACCACCTCCCTCTGATGTCTCCCCATTTCGAGGGTCAGCACAGGGAAGAGAGGGGCTCGGAGTCCCTGGTGCTCCAGGCCATCCTGAAATTCATTCTCCTGCTTAATTTCCCATGGCAGCACTTGGCAGAGGCAGCTCCACTTCCCAGCAGCTGCCCCATGAGATCCCTGCTTTGGAGGCAGCTCCATGCTGAGCCCCAGGGCTGCAGGGATTCAGGGCAGACCCACCAGGAGCCTGAGCTTCCCTGGGACCCCACAGCACCCAGGAACCTCCCATCCTTCCTCCAGCTCCAGGAACACCAGCGGGGATGTGAGAGGACAACAAAACCCCACCACAATGTCTGGGTCTGGCAAACCACCCTGACACAGGGCAAGACTGGGTTTTCAACAATTCCACGTCTAACCCCAAGAGCTGGGGTTGATGGCCTTGCATTCAGGGGGTCCTGGCCCCCTGTCCTTCCCCAGCAGCCCCACCATGGGCAGCCCATGCTGGTGTCCCAGTGACGGCTGCTGGTGGCACTCACCGCCCGGCGCTCAGGGGGATGCTGTCCTCATGGCCTCACCAGCAGCAGCTCCTCCACACTGGGAATCCCTGGGCCAGCAGCTCTGGGGGAGGAACAGGTCGGGGATGAAGCCAGAGCAAAGGTGTTCCCCCCCAAAACCAGCCTGAGCCACCTCCCCGTGTATTTTTTATCAGCCCAGATTTCCATTCTCCCCTGAGGCCGCCCCACACCAGCGCAGCAACGGGGACAGCTCTGCACGGCCAAGGACACGTGTTTCACCCAGTTTAGCCCCAAAACCATCCCCAGTCCCATCCTGTTATGCAATCTCCTGCCAGCGGGTGCCAGAGCCGGCCCAGCGGCCACCTCGCCACCGACTTTCATTCGCTCCGGCTCCGGCCGCCCGCTCCACAAAGCCTCCTCCTGCCACCCCGCCTTCCCAGCGCCACCAAAGGGGCTTTATTTCCACCTTCCAGCCCGGGAGAAGTGCGAGCTAGGCCCGTTCTGCAAATTAATGCGAGGTTCTGCCAGCTTGGGTCCTGCTGGGGACCTTTACGGCTCGGGATGAAAGCGGGAGAGAACAAACACGCAGCGTGAGCGAGCTGGAGCCGGGAAAAAAAAATAAAATAAAGTGGTTTTCCCACTTAGGGGCTGAACAAATTTGATCTACGGTCGTCGGAAGAAAATAAATATGGAATACAGCCAGGTCGTTTCCACCGTGCTTTTAATCTATTTACTCTTTCCCTGCTCGTTGTAAGTGAGAAGGATTGTGGAAAGCAAACATTTTATTTTATTACTAATTGCTCTGTTATTTTATGAGTCTGAATTAGTAAAATTTACACTGTCTGGAGGAAAAAAAGAGGGGCTTAGTAAGAGATCACCTAATTTAGAAGACAAAGGGGAAAGGTGACGAAAGGGAATAGGAAAGGAAAGGGGAAAAAAGAGACGAAAAGGAAAGAGAAAAGGGGGAAGGGGAAAGAGGAGAAGGGAAAGAGGAGAAGGGAAAGAGGAGAACAGTGTGAGCAGGATGCAAAGATCACAGAAATACACTGGCTGCAATCAGGAAATCAAAACCAATTACTGTTAATAAAAGAAAGCAGAGCAGCTGCAGGCAGGCGCTGCCTGCAGAGGGCTGTGAGGGGCAGGATCCAACCGAGCACCGCTGGAAAAAAGGGATGAGGCAAGATTTGTTAAAAGTCATGAAAGATGAACACAAGCTGAGGATTTGCAAATATGAGTGGAGCAGGAGGTGTTTACTGAGGCCACTGGGAAGGCCAGAAAAGCCAGCACAGATGGCTGGGACCCCAACAGGGCTGGGGGTATCTAGCACCCCAAAAACCTGGAAGATCCTGACATCCTGACATAACTGGGGGGCTCTGGCACCCCAAAGTTGGGGGCATCTCCCCTGGTTCAGCCCTGCCCTGACACATCCCTTCTCACCTAGAATGGGCACTTCCCAGCACCAACCCCAAATCCACGATGCCCCAGGGCCCCAGCCCAGCGCAGCCACCCTGCTCCAGAGCCTGGAGGCTGAGGACAGGCCGTTCGATGGGCTGGGCACGTTATTAAGCACATGATTAATTTTGGCACCAGCCCCAGCTGCCTGACAGCTCCTTCTCCAGGGCTGGGAGAGCGAGCGCGAGAGGTGCTGCCTCTGCTGATGCAGCGGTTGGTGGGATGAAAAATCCTGCAATGCAGCACTGCTTCTTAATGAGCCATTTGTCTTTGAGTCTTCTTCACTCATTACCATGCCGGGAGAGGGATGGGAGTTGCCCCACGTCCCCGTCTGAGCAATTACTCCTGGAGCAGAGCGAGGAAATACGGCCACGAGGTGCCCACAGCTGCCAGGGATCCCGCACGGCCGCCAGCGCGGGGACTCCCCGCCACAACGGCACTGACTGTGCCTGCTGCCACCTCGGGGGGACAGGAACCCCCTCCCTGCACTGCACACACGGCCCAGGACCACCCAGCCCGGCCCCAGACCTGATTCTCTGGGGGCAGGAGCTGCTGTGCTGGGTGTGCAAAGGAGCTGGAGCATCCTGGAGCCGCCAAGGCAAGGAAAGGAGTTTGGCGTTCCATCCCTGCAAAGCCCAAAGCAGATCTTGGTGGAAGAGACACATCTTCAAAAGCCCTTTAGGATGGGG